TCTATTATGGATCATGACTACAACTTGCTCTAGAAGAGGCCTGTGGTAAAGAGGAAATTGAAGATATGATCCAAGAAAATGTCAAGACTTAATACGACCATACACCGCTAACCAGTCCAAATCCAAAAAAAGCAAAAACAAAGGCAAAGGACAGATTGAAAGGTAAACAAGCTGACTAAATAACAAATGGTGTAATTTTTGACGCAATTCAAACTGTAATTAAGAGATTTGATGAGCAAGATCAACAGATGAAAAATATTGAAAAGACAATGGAAGAAAATGCATGATCTTAGAATGAAAAGAAAGCGAAGACGTTAGGGAAATGGTGATCAGAATTCTTACCCGCGTAATTCCGAGATCAGTGGAAATGCTCCAGCAATTGGTGGATTTGGTGCATCCGTTAGGAAGAAGAAATAATGCTGCCACAAATAAGCCACCGAAACCAGTAATCATACAGTTTTAAATGCGGACTGAGAGATGAAGTGTGGACAAAAACCAGGAGCTGCCAGAGTGCACAGCAAATTTATTGGTGTTAAATTTCAAGTGTTGTGGTAATTCAGAGTAAAGTGTTAAAATTCTAGAGTTAGATAAAGGTAAAGTAACCCTTTCAGCGTTAGAAGCTGATTTGCCTCCTTGTCACACAGAGTAACATGTATCTACCTTTGTAGAAAACCCTTGTATTTGAGAAACTAATCAGGGTGTCTGAAATCTCGCCACACCCTCATTCACCTGGCCTTTAAATTGGTCAATTAGTCTAGTCCACTAGACAGAGGGAATGACCACAAATAAGTGAATTCAGACACCTGCTGTTGAACACCTGCTGTTAACAAGTACAATCACTGAAGGAATAAGAAATTGAAGGAAGAAATAAAACTACAGATAGAGCCTCACACCAAACCAACTGAATTAAAACAGAGGATTATACAACTCCATTAAATAATAGTATGAGCAGCTTCACTGATTACAGTTTTACTTCATTTCTGTAAGAATATTTGACAATGAACAGAGGCTTATATATTTTTTTTATTAAAAATATTTCATTTGACCTCACCATCATAGAGATCAGAGGCTGCTTATTTGAGCTCTTGAAGCTTTAGTCTTGTATTCTAATGGTTCTCTGACTGTTATAGCTGTGTTTCTAAATCGCATCAGCTATAGCAAGATAGGTCAAGAGAAATTATACTGTTTATGCTTAATTGTTATCGATATAATCTCAGGTGTTTAATAAGTTGGTTCATAATATATGCAAATATAATTGTATTAAAAATGCATGGAACAATACTAATGGCATTCTGCTGCGCTTCATAGAAGATTCATCAAACAATTAGGATGCAATTAATAATTAGACTGTCATGCACTTAACATTCAAGCTCCAGCTTGATCACTATGACACACAGGCATCAAGAATCAGGATATGAACCTCAACTGTGGTTGCTGCATAGTTCATGCCACAATGCATGCTGGGTGTCAGCATAGAACAAAGCTCCCAGCATGCATTGCAGCATGAATAAATTATGAAGCTTTATGTTCTTACAATCTCTTTCTTTTCCTTTATTTTGTGTTGTTTTTTGGGAGGTGATATTTCAGTAAAGTTTTTTTTTACTTTTTATTTTTTTGTTTGTCACCATTATTGAGATACAAAGACTAATTGTTGATGTCTGTGTGTTTTTAAGTTCTGCCATTGATCAAACATTCTCATTGTAAATAGTGTTTTAAACCTGTTATAAAATTATTAATTATTGGAGGTTCAGTGGTTTCATTTATGCATATTATTTATTTCTCACACAGAACTAATATGATACTGAATTAGAGAACAAGCAGGAAAGGATGGCTATGATATCATAAATAATCTCTTCATTCTGACACTTTCATTTTCTTTTGGCATTTCCATGCTATATGTATAAATAGTGTAATTAACACTAATTACAGCAGTCAAAATAAAAGCCATTTATAGCATGAAGTTAAAGAGCCTAACTAAAGCAGACTCTGTCCTCCATCATGGTGAATTCAAATGAACAACAGAAATTTCATTAAGAGCTTTTGTTCACATGACAGAAATAAAGTCAAAGGTCAGTAATAGGTGAAGCTCCATGATGAGTTGTTTAATGTGATGTTTTTTTTAAAGATGTTGAAAAATAATTTTTTTTTATTGTGTAATTAGTTTTATTTTTATTGATTATTATTTTATTTAGAGTTTTTTTTCTCAGTTGATTTCAACTTTGGTTTTGGCTTGTGTTTTTCTGTCCTTCAGTGATTCTGCTTGTTAACAGTTGTTCATCAATAATTCTCAATCCTCCTTCAATTAGACACTTAATTGTCTAAGAGTGTTCAGCCCTCTGTAGTGAGGACACTAGTTAGGATTTTGCTCTGGAATTTAAGGCTTAAGTGCGTTCGAATGAAAAATACAGACTATGGGATGTATTTTTAACAGAAATATTCTGAAAACTGAATTTATGAATGTAAAATGTTGAAAACAGCAGATTACTGACAACCACTGCTGCCAGTATTTTGACATACATTTAACATATATTTTACACAATAAGAGTTTGCTAATTAACACTCTCTGAGTGTTAAAAATTTTAACACTTTCAAAAGTGTTATTTTAACAATTATAGTGGTTCCCATATAAACACTGAGGGAGTGTTAATTTTAACTCTAAGGTAGTTAAATCTACCAAATCTAAAATTTGCAGTGTGAGTTCGATAAAAAATACAGACTGTTGAATGTGCTTTTAACAGAAATATTTTGTAAACTGAATTTATGAATGTTAAAAACAGCAGATTACTGGCAACCACAGCTGCTGGTATTTTTCCGTAAAATCTAAAAATGAAAAAAAAAAAAGAAAAACAGCTAAACGGTTTTTGTGTCACCATTGTGGAGGATAATAGCGTCTCTGTTCAAGTCCAAGATGAACTAAGAGTATTTGATGTTATGCTGCATCTTCTTTTGTTTAAAGGTAACTGTGTAGTTACTAATGCAGTCAAAATCTGTTTGCTAATTGCAATCACACATGAAAACATTATTGTATCTGAAGACTTTACATTTTTTTTGCACTAAGCTATGATTTTGTAAACTGAACATTCATTAAATATGGTTATTTTTTGTAAATTTATACAATTATATAAAACTTCCATGTTTTTCACAGAAAGATTCTGGCAACCACAGCTGCTGGTATTTTTTCGGAAATTTAACAGATATTTTACACTATAAGAGTTTGCTAATTAACACTCTCTTGGTGTTGACAATGTTAACCCTTTCAAAAGTGTTATTTTTAACACTTATAGTGGTTCCTATATAAACTCTGAGGGAGTGTTAATTTTAACTCCAAGGTAGTTAAATCTACTATCTAAAATTTGCAGTGTGAGTGAAGAAATGAACATTAAATTTAAGGACGACTTCTCAAAGAAAGATCGCGAAGCTTGTGCAAAGTTGTGGCCAAAATTGCAAGAAGCTAGAAGCAATGGGAAGAGAGTCTTTCTAAAAGAAGGCTATGCACGTATTGATGTACTCAGAATTGACTTGTGCCTGAAAAAAAATAAATAAATAAAAAGGTAACAAGTAAGCACTAATGAAAATATATAAAAATGCCTGATATGTGATCGAAATAAATGGTTAAAAGTAGAAAGGATAAGGCAGGGGTCACCAATCATGGTCCTGGAGGGCCAGTGTCTCTCCAGGGTTAGCTCCATTTGCCTCAACACACCTGCCTGAGTGTTTCAAGTACACCTAGTAAGACCTTGATTAGCTTGTTCAGGTATGTTTGATAAGGGTTGGAGCTGAAATCTGCAGGACACCGGCCCTCCAGGAATAAGTTTGGTGACCCCAGGGATAAGGTGTTTAACTAAAAGTAATAATATTTGACTTAACTGGTATTGTTTTGTTTTTGATACAGTTATTAAGGACAAAGTTCACTTCTGCGCCTTAAGTGGAATGTGTGTTCTGAGAGTTCCGCTATTTGTTTATTAAAACAATGTCTATTTTTTTTTCTTTTGTTAAATATTAGGGGGTTAAAAACAGTGTTAAGCAAAAAGCTATTTTCTTATTTTGCAAGGAACAAAAAGTGAACTGTGTTTTCTGACAAGAGACTCATTCTGCTTTAAATGATGAAAGATTTTGGAAAATTCAATGGAGTGACTTAGCCTTATTTAGACGTTTCTTCACATTCAGCTGGAGTGATGATTTTATTTAACAGATTTGAAGGCTCTGTAATTGCGCATAAAGGTGATGCAGAAGGCCAGTGGTTAATGGGAGCAGAAGAAATTCATGATAAATGTTTAATTATACTTTGTATTTATGAATATAACAACAAAGTGGCCAATAGAGAAATGTTTCAGAGACTTAGCAATATGATTAATGAATGGAAAAAAATGTAATACTGAAAATGTAATAATGGGGGGAGACTTTAATATAGTTGTTGATTCATGGCAAGATAGAAAACCTCAGAGAGGTTCACATTCTGTGTATAATGATGTTATATTAAATTTATGTAAAGATACAAATGTGGTTGATTGCTGAAGGGTATCTAACCCAGACACTTTTAAACATGGTTTAATTCCTCAAGAAATGGAAGTGTTCAAGATAAGATTATTGGCTAATTTCTGGTGAACTATGGAAAAATGTAACAGAATGTAAAATTTCAGCTGCCCCTCTCACAGATTATTGTATGGTTACTCTGTCTTTAACAGTGCTCAAGAAGCCTCAAAATACATCCAATATTTAAAAATTCAATAATGACTTGTTAAACAATGATGCAGTTAATCAGAAGGTGCTGGCTCTCATTGAAGAGATATTTCTATCTAAAACTAGTCAAGTTTAAATAAATGGGAACGGTTTAAATATAAGGTCAAAAGAATAGCAGTGGGTATAGGTAAAATTTTGTCATTAAGGAAAAAACAAGAACAGAGTGAACTGATTTATGAAATAAACACATTGACAGACAATACATGTCACTGGCTCGGTCCCAGTCATTCCCCTCGCTGACCAGCAGAGGTCATCATCACCGGACTTCTAGCCTTATGTCATCCCAAAGACTGATTGCCGCACACACATGCAGCTCATCGCATTAATCACCACACACACCTTTATAAGCAGCACAAACACTCACCTCAGTGCGAGAGATAAGCGTCAGTCAGTCGGTGACGGGCTTCAGAACTGGAGCAGGGTGTGTATTGTGCGAGTTGCCGTAGGACGTAGATTGCGTGTCAAAGTAGAGGAAGGTGGGTTGTTTGAAAAGCAGGTAGTGTTGGATTATGGAACAAGACTCGGGAGGGTCAATAATGGATGAAAACTCACAGTTTTGGGATTTATGTCAAAGAGAATGTTTATCAAAATGGAAGAATTCAGGATCTGCCAAAGAATTGGAGGATAGTGAGGATATGATGACGGCGACTCAAACAGTGAGTAAAAAGAAAAAGTAAAAGAAAAGAGAAAACCTGAATATCATAGGGGAATGAAATTCTACAAGGGAAGAAATAAACAAATCCTTATATAAAGTAATCCTGACGTTTGAAAAGTCATCAGGCAAACATATGAATCCGATAGGATTAACCAGGGAAATAAACAAAACGATTTGTGCTGTAAACATGACTCAGTGTTTAGGACAGGGAAGAGTCTTAATAATGGTGAAAGATGTAGCACAACGGAACAAATTGCTGAGAGTCAAATAGCTAAATGGAGAAAGGGTTTCAGCAAAGGAGATTGGCATATCTAGTACAGCTAAAGGTGTTATTTATGGAATCCCGAATGAGATATCAATGGAAGAGGTTTTAGAAAATATAAAAGGAGGAAAAGTAGAGAATGCAAAAAGATTAATGACAAACAAGGAGGGTCAGAGACAAGTTAGCATGTCAGTACTACTAACTTTTGAAGGGAGACTTCCAGATAATGTGCAAATGGGATTTATAAGCTATACAGTACGAGAGTTTGTCCCGAAACCACTAAGATGCTATAAATGCCAACGCATAGGACACGTTGCTGCGATATGTAGGGGTAAATTGAGATGCCCCAAATGTGGAGAGGAACATAAATATGAAAAATGTCCAGGTAATACTGTAATGAAATGTTGCAATTGTGGGGGCCCGCACAGTGCAGCATATGGGGGATGCGAAGTGCAAATAAAAGGACGAGAACTACAAAAATATAAAGTTGAAAATAAAGTAACATATGCAGAAGCAGTAAAGGCCTGTGGAAATAGTGATAACAAACATAAAGAGATGATGAACAAATACAGACAAGAAAACAGTAAGATGACAGACAAGAAAAAAATCAAACTCTTGGGAACAACCAGATGAAGGAGAACAGGAAACAGAAACAAGCAAAGGTAAACATCAATGCTGTAATAATGAAAACAGACTAGTAATGAAAAAGTAGAACTTCTTGATCTTTATAATCAAGATAGTTATGTCACTGCTATGATGTCAAGCAGGACAGCCAAGATAAAAGTAATACTGGAAGCAGCATCAGAATTTCTGGATATATCTGGAATGTCATTACACTGTAAAAAATGATATCCAGCCTCAGTAAATATGGCTCATTTAAACAAACAGATTTCACTTAAAAAGTTTACTTTTGGACATTGCTTAATTTTAAACAACAAATGTTACATAAAATATTGATTTCACTGTTTACTTTATTTAATAAAGAAAAACAACTAGCAATTTTTAGTAAAGTTAGCAATAATTTGAGGTTTAGTCAGTTGAACCCAATATTTTAGGATCATCAGATTACCACGTGACGCTGTACCACAGCGCGCAATTTGAGGAGTCCATTTTGGAAAATCAGCTCGAGAGAAGGCTGTTCATCTTTTGGTAAGTTATTGCAAATGTTAGATGATATTCCTTATGCCTGCTTATAAATAATGCATGTCTAAATGTTTAGATGGCAATTTACAGTATAACGAATGGACGCTTTTAAAAAAATGACCATGCTTGACTCAACACAACGAGTTAATCCTGATCCACACAGGAGTGTTTGAAGCCAGGTCTGTCAGCTGATCTATTATATATCTGCTCCTGTTTGTATCTGTTAAGGTGCTTTTTACTGTGCTTTAAATGATTATCATTGTGGCCAAACACTGTTGAGCATGTGAACATGGTGGGAAATGCTGGTATACTCTCATTGTAAAAATTTCAGTACCGCCTGACTTTTGAAAACTTAAAAGTTTTATTGTATTGTTTTGTTTGTTTGTTTTTGTGTTGTTTTTTCGATTTAAATTAATAATGAAAGTATATTTATAAGTAAATATAAGTAAAATTTGTTAATTTTCTTTTTTTAAGATCAAAGAAGAATTCAAAGGATTGACACCTACAGATGTGGAGTCTACCTTCATTGAACATTTGGACAATTACACAGAACAGCTCGTCCATTTATTTCACAAAAAGGGGGGAAGTGCAGGATGCAAAATCTGTGATGTGATGAAATTGCTGGAGCAGGTATTGTTTACTGAAAATTCTGCTTGCCTGTTTTAGCATAGATGTTCATTGTCTCTACCATGTAATGCATTTTAAAATATTACAATTTATTTATATATTTTTTTCTATTTGCACTCACAGTGTGGACATTCTCTAGGAGGTGGTGATATGCTGTCTGACTGTGTACCTTTCTAAGAACCTTGAAAATCTGATTACACATTACCTGGTTAGTGAATGTAGTTAATTTAGTTCACTTTCAAATGACTTTTGTAGCAGGTTTTAATTGCAAACCTGAAAATACAATTAAGCATGTAAAATGTCAATTTAGAAAGATAAATTTTTTATATAGTTGAGTGATTTTAGTCATCTTAAATTGAGTTCAACAAAAAATGAAAAATTCCTGTTTTTTAAATCACCCCAGCCAATCAAAGATGTGGTTAACTTTTTTTCTTCTTTAGTAGAAGAGTAAAGAAAATTTGGAACTGAAGCACCTGTGGTCTTTGATAAAGATTTGCTAGTTAGCAGATGAAAGTTAGTCAACAAAGACCACAGTTTAAGTTTATTTTCTTTACTGTTCTACTGAAGAAAAGTTCTGACTTTCAGGTTCTGATAGTCTTTTTCAGTTTCTTACTTTTTCCCCATTTTTTTACTTGGCTGTGCCTTTTTTTTTATTTTATGAACTGATGCATAATATACATTTTGTTTTATTGTTTTGTTTCAGGACACCTGTGGGGAAACGGACCAGCTGGACATTGGAGAGCACATACCAAAAACTGTGACCATACGCACACATTCAGTACATTACGGACAATTTAGCCTACCCAATTTACCTATACCGCATGTCTTTGGACTTATGGGGGCAATCGGAGCACCTGGAAGAAACCCACATCAACACGGGGAGAACATGAAAACTCTGCACAGAAACACCAACTGACCCAGCCAGGGCTCGAACCAGCGTCCTTCTTGCTGTGAGGTAATTGTGCTGAGTGTTTGACAAGCACAGCTTTGAACGCTTTTTTTAAGAATACTCTTGAAACAGTTTTTGAAATATTGTTTCTATTAAAGCAGTACATATAAAAAAAATGCATTAAAATGCATAAAAATGTTTTAAGATGCATTTGTCTAATAAAGAAATTCTTTACTTTAATCCTGTTATCTGTGTTTTTCCACCCTATGTAATGTATAGCTAATTGTAAGTTAACTGATAAGTGACTTAGTATATTAAAGTTGAAGAACTAAACATTTTCAGTTAAATTATAGCTTAAGATTTTATAATTGGGTAAACAGAACTTTAATGGTAGAAATAGCTTAAAATTGTAAACAAAAACTGCTTAAAATATTAAGTTACACCAACCAATAAATTTGAGCAAAACCATTTGCTAGAATACTTTAAAAATTAAGCATCACCAACTAAAGATTTTTAGGTAATATTGCTTTAAATTTAATGTGAAAATTGCTTTAAAAGAGGGATGCAAAAATGATGCACTATATTCTTAAGTAAATCAAGCATATTATTTTTTTCAGTGTAGAAAAGGTGTATGATTTCTTGACCAAATCATCAAACGATGCTACTCAGCTATCTGATTAGTTTGATGGTGATATATGTTCTGCAATGGAATCCAAGAAGCCTTACAGCAAATGGACAACAGTTGAAGAAATTCATTTCGAATTAAAACAAAAATCGAGCATAATATGTATTCAGGAGTCATGCCTTAAACCAAATCTACAGTATAATATAAATGGTTATAGTTCTGTCAGGAAAGACAGGAAGGAAACACAAGGTGATGGAGTAGTAACATTTATAGATGAAGGGATAACATACAGAATAATTCCAGGTGTAACAGAATTGGAATGGGTTGTTATAGAAGTATATTATAAAGAAGGATCATTGGTGATACACAATATAAATAATCCATGTAATAAAATTTCTAAAGAATTGCTAGATAAGATTGGTAAAAGCACAGGGAAAAGGGAAATGTGGTGTGTTGATTTTAATGTGCACAATCCATTATGGGGTAGCATTGGAACAAGTGTGCCGCAAGCCTGCCTTTGAGTGAAGGTCTCGGCCGTTAGATCGCCCCCTGGGGGCTGGCTGCAGTACAAGTAATAAAGCCCGCCTCCTCTGTGTTAATGAAGGAGACTCGAGTTCAAAAAAAAAAAAAATAAAAATTCACTTGAAATTAAACTGTCCTGAAAGATGGTCTTGGTCATTTAAGGCAGTTGTTATTATGCTGCTATAGGTGCAAATCTTCATTTTTGCAGTCAGTATGTTTTTAATCAGTAATTTGATGCTAAAAAAACGGGGCGTGTCGTCATGATTGACATTTGTGATTGACAGCTTCTCTGAGCGGATCGTCGGCGCTTCAGGGGGAGATTGAAGCAGGATTGAAGATATAGCGAACTAATAATCATCGATTACTGTGTTATTTCACTGCGAAAATATGAGTTGTTCAGCAGTAAACTGTTCTAACCGGCCTTCAGGATCTGATGGATCACTGAGTTTTTTTCGGTAAGGTTAAATGTGAGCTAAGTTAAGGTAGGCTAATACCTGTATGTATTATTAACGTTAGCTAAGATAACACCTAGCAGTAGACATGACGGGCCTCTTTATGTGCAAGCTACTAAATATTTTCATGGGTATTGTGGTGTTTTTATAATTTTTACATGTTTTCCATGCATAAGAAGGCTTAAACAATTAACCTATAAAGTGTTAATTATTGTGAAACTGTCAGAAGTGTTGCAAACTGCTAAGTGCTGCAAATTGCATGCACAAAATACAGAAGTGTCACAAGGGTGCATAGAAAGGGCAAAGAGTTCTGAGAAAGGACAGGATGTATGAGCTGTGTGTGTGCTATAAGGAGACATTTGCCTTAAAAGGTTAACTCTTAAGAGAAGATGCACTGAAGACAACTGTGGTATAAAAGGATGTGTCTATGAAGGAGAGTTTAGAGAGTTGAACCTCTCCTGCGCAGTGTATTGCTTTTGGTTTCTTTCCTGCTTGAGCAAATAAAATTTATAATTTTTGACTGACTGACTCCGAACCTATTTTTGAACATGCACTGGACCCTTTGAAGTCCAACAGTATACAATTATAATTCGGGAGATAAAACTGAAGTTATCCTGCTCTGATTAGTTAGAGCACTGATACAGCAGTCTACTGTAACGGTAGCGTTAGTTGAACTTGATTTAAAATGGCAGAACCATTCCTGATATTTAACAATAGTGGCATGTTAATTTTATCTACCGAATTGTCTATTTAAAAAATGTTATTGCTTTGAAACAACATTCTAAAACGTATATAACAGGTAGAACTGTATATAGTGTATACTATTTCAAATTTATTTCACGTTAAAATTCATTAACTACCATGTACTGTTAAAAGCTTATCTTAAAGTATGGAGACGTTAGTTATCCGTTTATTTATTTAGTAAAATGTATTTGTTTTAGCCTTCATAAAATACACATCCAAATAGCTGTAAATTCCCATTTGTAAGTAATTAAGACATTGTTTAAATCACTTGATATTTATATATTTGTATTCACCTTTGCTTCTGAGAACTATATTTCCATAAAAACTTTATTGATTCCTTTAAGTTTATAAAACAATGTCAAAAAAACAAAAAAAACAAAACATGAATATAAAATTGTCAAAGGCAGCTAAATGAAACTGTGATAGTAGCTGCATATGTTTTGTAGTTTTCCTTTAGGTAGGCATGATGCAGCAAGATTGAAACAATGGGTGGTGAACATGAGACGCAACGGCTGGAAACCAACAACTTCATCCCGTCTTTGCAGTGCTCATTTTGAAGAGCATGCTTTCACCAAGGATTTGAAGGTAAAAAAAAATCTGCAGAATAATTGAGCTGTAGATTTTAAATCTTGCTGATTGTTAATTAAGCTGCCAATTTAGCTTAATTAACAAAATAAACAGCATATTTAAATGTCTAAAGATTATCTCAAGTAAGCATTTACAGTTTTTACAATGGATATGACAGTTTTTTCAGTACATTTACCAAGTTTCCTAAACTCTTAACGCAGCAATATACCTAAAACACTGACTAAACAGTTTATTTCATGCTCAAAATCACACATCATAAACTAAACCACAAAACTAATGTTCTAAATACAATAATAAACTAACACAACACTGCAAACTTGTTTTAAAATTAAATAATTACTCAAAAAACTAAAACATGTTCTCGTCCAACAGGAAAATTTAATCATTCATAACACATTGACAAAAAATAAAATAAAATATCTAAATAAATAAATAAAACTATCATCTGCTGAAATTATGGAGACTGCATTGTTTTGTGTCAGGTCGGCCCCCTATGTTTGAACCCTCTTTACATTTTTGTTTTGCTGGGTTTAGTAAATGCGTGTATTTTCTTTTACTCCTGAAATTCAATACAAAAAAATAAATGACCATATCAGAGTAGCTTTATAAAATGTACAGTTTATGTAAAAATAAATAAAACTTAAAAGACACAGAATTGCTGCAGTACAAACTTTATTTGCAAAAAGACATAGAAGATGTACAAACAGAAAAAGCACCACAATAACAATAATAATAAAAAAAAGTAATCTTCTGCGTTTGGTCACATGTTCTCATCCACATCACACCTGATATGTTCTCTGGCAAGGCATGGGAAGAATTCTTTTGTTGTTCTTTTTCCACTCAAGTTCAGCCCAAAGAACATATTTATGATCATGAGTGTGGTTCCTTCATGGAAATATGCTGTGATTTAGGTATTTGCAAAACTGCAAAAACCTGTTTCTCATGGACGATGGAAGAAAATGCAGTCAATATATTTGTGTTTCAATACACAACATGAACAGCTATTCACTTTGACTTTACCCTATAGAAGTTATGTTTAGAACATGTTATCTGTTCTGACATACAGGCCCCGTTTACACTAATGCGTTTTAGTTTGAAAACGCATAAGTTTTGCTACGGTTACGCCATCCGTCCACACTACGCCGGAGTTCTCGAGCGCCGAAAACGGAGCGTTTCGAAAACGCTGGACAGACCGTTTTCATTCTGAAACGCAGCTGCTCCGTCTCAGTGTGGATGATGGAAAACGGAGACATTTGAAAACGGAGGCGGGGCTGCAGACATTCGCCTCTCTGATTGGGGCTTTTCCTGAATATTAAGTAGCCTAACACGCACAGTTCAGTCCTGCATCTTCTCCGTGTAAGTTAAAACTTCGCAAGTTTGATCATGGCTGCAGTCTCTTCTTCTCAGTTTGATATGGAAAACAGACTATACCGAGGACACGGGTAAATCTTCAAAGGGAACAGTGTACTTTATAACTTCATTCACATCACCCTGGCTACGTTGTTTTACTTTCTCAACAATAAAATGTAAACATATAAGGAACTGCCTATTTTCATTTTAATATTAACAACTAAACAGACAGCAAAAATGTTGAGGCGCCGTGCTGCAAATATGAGCGTCATCTTCACTGTGTGCATATTTATAACAAAACGGAGCCTACAACAACTGCCTCCTTTCAATTTCAGTGAAAATACGAAACACACCCTCTCTTTGCTGAATATCAGTTTTAATCGATAATGGCCATTATAAAAGTATAACATACAATAAGTTTATACATTATAGGAAATAAAGGCAAGCGATCAGTCAATATACAGAATGTACATGCTTACATTAATCATTAACTTATCTTTGCGCTCAGCCAAAACACGTTACCTGAGAACAAGTAATAGATTCCAATGTCCAATGAATATGTCGTTAAATAAAGACAAGAAGATGAAAGAAATATTCCGTTTAATAAATATAGTGAGGTTAGATCCAGCGGGAGATGCTTGATGAGAAGTCCGACTAG